CGTTTTATGGTGGGTTAGCGAGTTGGCGGGTCAACCCACCAACCCGTCAATTAAAAAAAAACTAATTAAAATTTACAAATAAATTATATTTTATGAATTTTTCTAATATCATTTTATTTTATTTCACACTTCTCTTAATTTTTTTTTAGTCTCAATCTTAAATGTATATTAATATTTGTCAAACATTCTTTAGGAACTCATTTTTTTTTTTGGTAAGCTGGATTCAAATAACCAGCAAAAAACTACACAATAGTCATTGTACGGACCCTACAAACAGAAGCTAAATCTGCTATAAAAATAGAATGAATTTGAGCAGGAGGATAACAAAAAATAGACATATCAGCAGCACTAGGATTATCCAGAGCATAATTTGCCAGCCAGTCAGCACAGCAGTTGCCTTCTCTGTATGTGTGAATTAAGTAAACTCGCCAGTCTTTTTGTAACCACGCCCATATACGAACCACCAGATGAGATTCACGGACTGCAACACCCTTTTTAGAAAGAATGATGATTGCAGATGTTGAATCAGATTCAACAATAAGATTTTTCCAGCCTTCCTCCCAAGCCATCTCTAACCATTTGAGAATACCCCAGAGTTCAGCATTAAGAGAATTACAAGCTCCCACTCTGTAAGAGAACCCTTTTAGCCAATGTCCCATATGATTTCTAGCAATACCACCACAAGCAGCCAAACCAGAGGAACTTCTACAAGCACCGTTAGTATTCAATTTAATCCAACTCTCATTAGGAGGCTTCCAACAGACAGGGATATCTGTTGTAGTCTTTATAGCATTATGCCTGTTAGCAAACTGAAAAGAAAAATGGGCTTCTTTGCTTTAGAAATAATCAAACTTTCTTTAATATGGCTAAGTTGAGCAGAATTATTACCAAAGACAACATCATTCCTCCATTTCCAAGCCCACCAGCAAGTAATACCAAAAATCATGCACCAAGGTATATTCTCTCTAGAACCTTCCCTACAAGCCAGATTACTCTCCATCCAAATATATAAGTCATCCGTGAAAAAGGAGTTGCCAAGGCTGTTAGGAATGAGGGTTAACCAAAGGGTCCTCATATTCCTACAATCTCTTAATAAATGTAAAGTAGACTCAACACCTTCCATACAGATTGGACAATCAGGTTGACCAATATCAAAAGAGCTTAATCTATTTTTTGTTGGCAATCTATCATGAATAACTTTCCATAAAAGCAATCTAACCACCTGAGGTCCTTCCCAATTCCAAACTTTTTTCCAAATTGAAGAAGAATTATAAACAGTTTCAGAATTATTACCTGCAAGGGTTTGATATAGGCTTTTGACTGAAACCTGGTCTGAGTCCTTCAGCTTCCAACGCACATAATCAGCACCATCTTGCTCATTTTGAGGCAGCATGCTTTTAATCACTGAGATAATATCCAATGGAAGCCAACGAGATAGCAGTTGCACATCCCAAGTTCCTTCCCCATTAACATAATCAACCATTTTCTTATTAATCTCCTCCCAAGGAACTGTACTCGAAGTCATATCCAGAAGTCTTCCACTAGTTTGAATCCAATTATCTTTCCAAAAAGAAATGGCCGATCCATTACCAATCTCCCAACTGAGCTGACTTTCAAGACTCTTCCAGGTTGAACAAATATATTTCCACAACCTAGAATCACCATTCTTACAATGAAAAATGACATTTCCTCCATGCTGCCCACAATATTTAGCCCTGGGGAATTGAACCCAGAATTTATCAGGTTGTGAGAAAATATCCCAAACAAGTTTTCCTACAAAAGCATCATTCATGAGAGTTAGCTTTTTTATCCCCAAACCTCCCTCTTCCTTCGGTTTTGTAATTGTGTCCCAACCCACAAGATGCATCTTTTTTTTCTCCTCTGTGTCTCCCCAAATAAATTTTCTTTGTAATTTTTCAATTTCATAACAGATAGCCTTTGGGATTTTATCACATTGCATCTGAAAGAATGGAATAGTGGAGATGACAGATTGAGAAAGAGTAATCCTCCCTGCTTGTGATAGGCATTTTGATTGCCAACCATTAATCTTAGATTGAATCTTTTCTACAATGTTAGCATATGCTTCTCTAGAAGCTCTTCCATGCTTCATCCACACCCCCAAATGTCTTCTTACATTACGCATCCTCTTAAAACCACACAATCTTTGTCTCCATATATAGATAACATTTGTCATAAATAAAATTGTTATTCTTTATTTTTTCTAGGAAGTACTAAGATAAATTTTTTTTTTGGATATCACAAAAATTTAATGACAAATGAAATACTACCTAATTGTAAAAAAAAAAAAAAGTTTGTAACCCGACGGGTTGAACTCGTTTTGACCCACATCTAGGCGGGGCGGGTTGAAGTGGGTTGGTGGATTGAAAACCTCAACCCAACCCGTCTCGTTTTGACAGATTAACCCGCCGAGCTTAATCCATATTGCCACCTCTAGTTACATCATAATAATACTATAAATCACAATTGAAATAAGCAAAAGTAAATACAGAATTATCAAGGACTAGTGGACAATAACATTAATTGTTATTCTGAGGATCGGATGATTAGAGTAATTGTTATTAGGGTAAATAATTTCTTCAGTCAATGGAGATAAGTTAACTCTGATGAGCCCAAAACGACGTCGTTTTGGGACAGAAATCAAGATATTTTTGTAATTTTAATATATTGCAGGATTATATTAATCTTTATAATTATAATTTCATAATTTTATAACCCAAAACGACGTCGTTGTTTTTATAATTATAATATATTACGGGGTTATATTAGTCTTTATCATTATAATTTCTAATCTTCTAAGTCTAAAACAAAGTCATTTTGAGTTCACCGAAAATAAAATTATCTCTAGCGACGGGAGAAATTCTTTTTCCTTGTTATTATTGTTATAATTGTTATTTTATTGTTTTTACGATTAACTACCAAGTAATCAGAAACAACAACCTAACTACCTCTGATAACCACCACACCATACTTTATTCCCACGATTCATTTGTTTAATTATATTTCTTAAAGATCGTTATTGTGAGAACGTTATTGGTTTTTTCTACCATATGTCTTCTGTTAGCAAGAATAATATACTACATGACAATTTTGCAAGACATAGCGCCAAAAAAAGTGAAATACATAAACTTTTAGGCTTCAAATCAATAGATCAAATTTTTTTATTTATAATTTGACGTAAAAGTTGAAAACAACTTTTGTTAGTGATCGTACTTTTTATAAAAAAAAATGATGTATTTCATCTTTACGTGAACGTATCTTTATAGACATATTAAACAAGGGAAATAGTAGTCTCATGTTGTAAGAGACTACTATCTTATGTTATAGACATTTTGATAAGTGTGCTGCTATCTTTTTTCTCTTCTTTTCTCTTTTTTAGTGGTAGGTCTCATTATTTTGTGTCTTAACATAAGATATGTTCTCTCCTACAACATGAGAATAGACAAACCCATTAAACAAATGGCGAATGCTTTTTACTTGCAATTTCGAAATTAGTGCAACCAATAATCTCATAACAAATGATTATTAATATGTCGATTAAACATCGTTATCTATACGCTTATGCATCATCACTAAGTACAAAATACTGTAAGAAAAATAATGGGTAAAAAGTTAAAACTATTTTCCAAATGTGTTTTGCTGCATCTTCTTCTGTTTTGTTTTTGTTCTGTCTTGGATATAGAGATGTCTAATTCAATAGACTAGAAATTTATGTTGGATCTAAATGCTTTCTCTAAAGTATCTTTGAGTTAGATACTCTTGAGTTTAGCACATCATTATACTCTAAGGCATGTTTGGTGCATAGTATAGGATAATGTCTGATAATATAAGACCTGATAGTATAAGACCTGATTGTATAAGACTTGATTAAATTTTAATACTATCCAGCATTTGGTACGGTATTTTATAAGATAATATTCTCCAATATTTTAAAAATTAATATATTAAAAAAATATATTTTAATATATAAATATTGAAATGATATATTAGTTATTGGAAATTGTATTTGTAAGCAATATTAATACATCAAACCCTTATCAGGCCTAATCCACCACTTCTATGCCTGATTAAGTTATACATCATTTTGATGTATAAAGGTGCCGTATAAGCTTATACTATACGATAGTCACACCAAACAACTGAAAATGTCATAACGTATAGTATAAGCTTATATTATCAGGCCTTATACATCACACCAAACAGGCCCTAAGAGTAAGAAATAACTTTCGCCAAAGGGATGATCAATCACAACATCACAATATGAGAGAGAAAAATTATACCTGTAGACTTTTGTTCTGTATGTTGACAGAGATGTCTAGCTTTGGGCTAGTAGATCAATATGAGATTTTGTGCTCTCTATAGATATCTATAAATTAGATATCTTGGGATAGTGAATCACCATAAACAATTATAAAGTGTTAGCTAATGGGGTGATATATGTGCACAATAATTGCATAATAATGATAGAGAGAGATTAGTGCATTGTCTTTACCTCCTATTTATAGCATTTACTTTAGGGTTTGAAACATCTGAGCTTCTTTTTTCTAAGCCCAATTCTTTTCTTGCACGATTGTCTAATATCCATAATTTATTGGGCTTTTTACACATATGACTTTATGTAAGTTCATAACAGTATTACTTTTTATTTATAGAGTTTATATGTGAATATTGGATTTTGAATCTTTTTGCCTCTTCTAACAGCTCAAATCCATATTTTATGCTATCTTATTAGAAATGATATCTTTGATAAATATTCTCCTTTGATTATATCAAATTTATGTTTGGATTGGAACAATTTTGGCTTGATAGTAAACGGGCATCAGTCCATAACAATTTTCTATGTTTTGCTTTGATGCACGCACACAAGTAGCAAATTAATAACAAAAATTAGTGCCATCTTCTAGATGAAACGAGAATACATCTGAGAAGAAAGAATGAAAAAGTGAGGATGGAGATGGAAATTGAGAGAGAGGGGATTGATCTGATCCACGATTGTCGTTACTGATTAGTCAAAGCAGCTATTTTAAACAAAGGTTGAGTTCGTGGAAGCACCCGTCGTTTACTGTTTTTGTGCGTTTTGATGTTGAGCTGATGAAAAAACGTCAACGTAGTTGGCTGCTGAACAATGAACATATTCTGATCATTAGTAACTGCCACCATCATCGTAAAGTCCAAACCACGTGTTCCTATTCGTGTGTTAGTGTGTTGTGTTTGTTTTGTGTTCGGGTTCATCTTCATCTTCAACCTCACAAACCCACACCAACCCCCATAACATGATGAACCTCCTCATCCTCTTCTTCACCGTTCTTCTCTCTTTCCCCCTTCTTTCCCTCTCCGCAAACACCACCGCTTCAACCGCCCCTTGCCCTCTCAACTTCACCGTCCTCAGCGTCCTCAGCGGCGGCTCAAAACCCTCCTCCTTCGACTCCTCCGGCGGCAGCACTCGGTGCCAGTTCATCAACCAAGCGCTCCGTCTTGTTGATTCCGATTACCTTCGCCGAAGTGGGTTCTTCCTCCCTCCGTCGAACTCCTCCGAGTCATGCTGGAAAGACTTTCAATCTTACATCAACAAGTTCGACCCAAGCTTCGATATTCGTTCCTCGTGTGGATTACAAACAAGTTGGATCTCTGAGGGTTGCATCAACATCACCACAAAGCAACAATTCGAAGCCTCTGTTCCTCAATCATCGCTTCAAAATATGCAGGCAAATTGTAACCAATCTCTTGAGAATAACTCCCCTTGTGCTCTCTGCACCACAAGCTTGTCTAGTTTACCAGCTTTGGGACAATCCATTGGGAACCTTTCTGATTGCACGGGTTATCCTTCCGTTTATGCTGCTGCTTTCTCTAACCAGTTTGGGCCCACTGACCCTGGCACTGCAAAGTGTTTGTTCTCCCTTGATTTTACCTCTGGGGGTTCCTCTGGTGGCAAAAAGAAGGTTGTTATTGTGGTTGTCTCCATTGTTTGTGTCTTGGTTTTTTCATCCATAGTTCTTGGTTTTTGGGCTTATTGGAAATTGAATTACAAGATGAAAGGGGATGATAATGTTAATATTGCAGAGAGGGGTTTGGTTTCAGGGTTGGATTCGATGGACCAGAGTACTACTCTGATGAGGTTCACGATTGATGATGTTAAGAAGGCAACTAAGAACTTCTCAAGGGATAATATAATTGGGAGAGGGGGTTATGGGAATGTGTATAAAGGGTTACTGTCTGATGGGAGTGAAGTTGCGTTGAAGAGGTTCAAGAATGTTTCGGCTGCTGGTGATGCTAGCTTCACTCATGAAGTTGAGGTTATTGCGAGTGTTAGGCATGTGAACCTTGTTGCTTTGAGGGGTTATTGTTCTGCAACGACTCATTTAGAAGGTTACCAGAGGATTATTGTTTGTGATTTGATGAAAAATGGGAGTCTTCATGATCATTTGTTTGGTTCAATTGGGGATAAACTCAGTTGGCCAATCCGTCAGCAGATTGCTCTAGGAACGGCTAGGGGATTGGCTTATTTGCATTATGGGGCTCAGCCTTCCATCATTCATAGGGATATTAAAGCAAGCAATATACTTTTGGATGAGAGGTTTGAAGCTAAGGTAGCAGATTTTGGACTAGCAAAGTTCAACCCAGAGGGAATGACACATATGAGCACAAGGGTAGCTGGAACTATGGGGTATGTTGCTCCGGAGTATGCTTTGTATGGACAATTGACAGAGAGAAGTGATGTGTTCAGTTTTGGTGTTGTGCTTCTTGAGCTCTTGAGTGGGAGGAAGGCTCTTCAAATGAACAATGATGGTCAACCCTCTGCTTTGACTGATTGGGCTTGGTCATTAGTTAGAACAGGTAAAGCCTTGGATGTTATTGAAGATAGCATGCCTGAACCTGGTTCACCACAAGTTCTTGAGAAGTATGTGTTAATTGCTGTACTTTGTTCTCATCCACAGTTATATGCTAGACCAACAATGGATCAGGTTGTTAAAATGATGGAGACAGATGAATCAGTGCCCTCAATGCCGGAACGGCCAATCCCTTTTGTTGCTGGGAGGCTTGATATTGAGAGATCTGTGAGCAGTAGTGGCTCCGGTCAGCTATCTAGTCCAACCGGTTATCAAGCATATAGTGACCCCCATTCTTCTAATTCTATAGAAGGAAGAAGCTCAGGCTCCCGGATTTTGAGTACAGATTGAGATTGAGGATTTGGATTTTCTTCCACTAGTTAGTGTCACTGTGTCAGTATAATTTATTTGTACATTTAGATTATAGATTGTATGTTTATTGAAACGTTTTCTGTTACAAAGCCAAACCGGATGTACAAAACACAAATGTTGATTCTTTTTTATTTATTTAACAGCAGGAGAGTATAATCAAGTTTTGCTGATTTCAGTGCAACATTATTATATTAGAACCAATCTTTCATTTCATTTTAAGAATCTTCTAATTCAAGAAAAATGATTTATTTTTTTTCACTTTAAGCAATATTGTATCCAATTTTAGGTCTAAGCTCAGTTGGCGCTTGTATCTCTCCTTGTGCCATTACTTATTTCTACATGGTGAAAGTGGAGGAATACTATTGGTATGGCTGTTTGCTTTAAATGCCAGTTGCAGTTTGGTTTTGTCAACTTAGTGGGTCATGGGAGGATATGGGAAAGTCTAAGTAAGAGTGAAACAAGCATGAATCATGGACCTAAAACAAAAGAAGCTGGCATAAATGCCTCTCAAGCAAAGTGGAACATGTTCACTTGTGTTGTGGGTTTATACAGGCTGCCTGTGTTTATGATGCTTGGTTGGCTTATTCTTGATAAGGTTGTCTCAATTTGGCTTGACTTTTTTATTTTATTTTGCAACGGAATCTGAATTCCCGCCATTGCCGACACAGAGCTGGCAGGGTTATTAATATATCAGACAAAATAAACGGATGGCTTAAATATTTAGTAGGGTTGTAACAGACGGGAGTACAATTACACGGACCAATGTTATTAAAATCGGCGCGGTCATTGACCCGGTCGAAGTACTGAGTCATTGTGTTACTGGTTCAACTGCATGATCCGATAAATATATAAAATTTTATAATTTATATTAAAAAATTATAAACATACTCAAATATCTATAAAAAAGATAAATATTTCAAATATTTTAATATAAAAAATAATAAATGACACATTATTATTCAATAAAAGATCAAACAAAAATATAATGATCGTGATACGAGACTTTAGGTTAAGAAAATGACATCTCTAACTATAAATCAAATCAAAATTTTCTCCGGTTTGCTTGGTTCAGGGATCAAATAATTAATATAGGGATTGCTTGGTGCAGGGATCAAACCCTGCCTCAAGCAGTTTCTTGAAAAATCTTTGGGGGCCAGAGGATAAGCCAAAAAATCTTCGGTTGGGGGATTAGTCTCGTCCTTTCTCCGGTTGCGAAGCTTAGTGCACCTACTGTTACAATGAGGGGCTAGCCCAAACGGGCCGTACCCCGAGGGCATGGTGCCCGGAGAAGGTTGAATGGAGATACCTCCTGGCAATGTACCAAAAAAAAAAAAAAAAAATCAAAATTTTCTGCATAGTGCATACTTGAGATAATATTAGTGTTGTGTAGGTACATAACTTATGTAAGTCAATAAGTAAAAAAATATATTCAAATATATCTATTATAATTTTTTTTTGAAAAAAAAATTTAGATTTTTTTTTGGGACTGGGCCGAGTCACTGGTTAATCGGCTGGGTCACCGGTTTTCATGAAAATCGACCGGGTCAGACCGGGTCACACCGGTTCTGATACATAACCAGTCTGTTGCTTCAACTGGACCGATTATATGATTTACCAGTTCCCAGATCGACCCGGCCGGATCGATCCAGGTTTAATAACACTGATGCCTACATAGTAAATGATGAGAAAGCTTCATGACTTGTTGGTCTAATTGTGGCTTCAATTGTGGGGTATTATTCTCGAATAATTGACAATAACAAAACCTCTATGTTATGGCTGAATTTATTCTTAAATTTTAAGAAAATTCTAGAATGTCTAGACATAGTGTTTGTAAAGGGATGGAATCTGGGCCAGGCATTGGAATAGGAACCCTCTTTTGTGCAAAATAAATAAATAAATAAAGTTGTTATCAAAAAATAAATCTTTTTTACACATATCATAAAAAGATATATCACTTTTTTTTTTAATTTTTTATAAATAAGTGGGTCTCACAATTAATATATCTATGACATGAGATTGAGATTTTTCTAGACATAAAATTTATTTTTCCCTAAGGAATATGTCATAATTTATACACCTATTTTATTGCCACCACATGAACCCCAAGCAATTCCTCTGTATCGTTCCAATTTTATCGGATGTCCCCGAAAGGACAACCCCAAGCAATTCCTAACCTCTCGCTACTGATGAACATGCAATGCAACTCTATTTCAGTAAGATCTTTTGACGATTGAAACTTAACCTCACTTATCAAAGCTAGATAGTCAGTCATGACTCATGAGGGTTCTTTAGCTGCAAATAAATGCAAACTAATTGAATTGAGATTAATAGTTGGAGGTACCTTGGCCTGAACAAATGAAAGATAGAGTTTTATCCGAAATTTAGATATTATAATTAATTGAATGAGAGTCCAGTGTTTTATTTATATTTGATTTCTTTTGTCGATAATTTCCGTTAGCATATGCGTTTATAAATTTTATTATAAACAAAATTATGATTAAGACAAAAAAAAAATGCTTAATATTAAGCAACAATATTGTTTCTTTAAACCTCGCAAAAGTGAGAATCGATTCTAGATTTGGATTAGAAATGAGGATTGTGCTCTGACCTTGTGAAGAAGATGGAAAAATGGTCCTCTAATTTGAATCTTGAATTTGACCAAAATTTTTTTTGAAGTGGATCATGAATCATGAATCATTTATGAAGTATTCTAGAATATGTCGAAGCTGGACTCACTTATCATGTAAGAATCAGGAATGGCCCTAAATTGTCGCGATCAGGGTTCTAACTTTAAGCTGCAGCATTCCTTTGCAGTTGACACCTGAGTAAGATGTGGAATCAGGATAATATCTCAATTAATGGCTCAAATAGATTTATACGATCATTTCTTAACAGTCACATGAGAGGCGTGCATTCTAGATGTTAGAAATAAATTCTAATTAAGATTTTCTTATTTTGTATTAGGTCAAATTACATTAGGTTTGGGCTTAGCCCATTAGTTTGTTTATATATTGTATATCTCTCTCATTCGTTAGAAATATTTCAAATGTTCTTCTCTTTTCTCTCGTTATTTAACATGGTATCAAGAGCCTAAGGAACTTTGAATTTTTTTTTTCCGGTGAACCCACTGGTCATCTTCGTTTAATTTTTTTCTTTCCAGAACTGTCTCCTTGTCAGTTTCCGGACGCTTCTCTCTCTGCATGCAACTTCTGTCTCGTCCAGAACCACCGTCCGGTCACCTTTTCCGGTGATCTACATACCGCCGTGCTCGTCTCAACCGTGCGGTTTCAACGCCACCGGTCCCGTTCGATTCCAAGGTCACACGCGCCCTCACGCGCGCGTGACAGTTCGGCCACTCTCTTCACTCCGGCGGCGCGTGGCGACGGGTGGAGACTCCTCTTCGGACGTGGCTGGTTGCGATATTCTCGTCTCCTTGTGTAGGTTCTGGATCTGGTCTTGTTTTGGTGTTTGAACCTCTTTTTGCATTGACGCACAGATCCCTCTAAGCCCTCTACGTTGCTTAGAATTCCCTCTAATTTTGGGATCTGCTACAGTTTCTACACTGGATTCCGTGATGAATACCTTGCTTAGAATTCCTCTAAGCCCTCTACGTCATCAGCACCTCCTATGATGCATATACCCCCAGCGGATTCTGTTGACTCTTCCGCTCTTGCTGCTCAAGGGTATGGTCGTGGACGTCGAGACGATTCTGTTGACCCTTCTGCTTTTGCTGTTCAAGGGTATGGTCGTGGACGTCGATTCTCTAAAGGAAAGCTCTTATGCACTCATTGTCATCAGACCAATCATACTGTTGACCGCTGTTGGAAGCTTCATGGCAGGCCACCTCCACCTTCTCGGAATGCTCATGTTGCTCAGGCTTTCTCTAGTACCTCTGCTCCAGAGTTACCTTCCAGTGCACAACCTCCAGCTGCTCTTCTGAATGAATTTGCGACTTGGTGGTCTGAGAAGCAAACATCAGGTCCCACTGCATCCATTGCTCCCTCTGGTAATTCTTTTGCTGGCATCTCTCAGTTGCACTCTATAGGCCCTTGGACTCTTGATTCTGAGGCTTCTAATCACATTTCTGGTAATAAGTCCTTATTTACTTCCCTTTGTACTACTGGTTCTTTTCCTACTATTACTATAGCCAATGGGTCTCTGGTCCAATCAAGGGGGACTGACACAGTTCTTCTTTTACCCAATTTATCTCTGAATCATGTTCTATATGTGCCTGATTCTCCTTTTAACTTACTTTCTATTAGTCGTTTGACCAAATCCATTGACTGTGTTGTTTCTTTTACTAAAACCTCTGTCATCTTTCAGGATCGGATTCGGGGAAGGAGATTACCAAAGGATGTGAGTCTCAGGGCCTCTATCAACTAGTTCCCTCTTCCTCAGCCTGCTCCACTGTGGATTCTCCTTTACCATCCATGCTCGTCTGGGCCATCCTAGTCTTGCAAAGCTTCAGAAGATGGTTCCCCATTTATCGTCTCTTTCTACTTTAAATTGTGAGTCTTGTCAGTTTGGGAAACATACTCGTAGTACGTTTCCGAGTCGTCTTAGTCGTCAAGCTATTTCTCCTTTTTTTGTGGTCCACTCTGATGTTTAGGGACCAAGTCGTCATTCTTCTACTTTGGGTCTTAAGTACTTTGTTACCTTTATTGATGATTATTTCAGATGTACTTGGTTATTTTTAATGAAAAAGTGGTCTGAGTTGTTTTCTATTTTTCAGTTATTTTATAATGAAATAAAAACTCAATTTGGTATTCCTATTCGTACTTTTCGTAGTGATAATGCATGTGAATACTTATCTCATCAATTTCAACAATTCTTTTCATCTCATGGCATTCTTCATCAAACATCTTGCCCTCATACACCTCAACAAAATGGTGTAGCCGAGCGCAAGAATCGCCATCTTGTTGAAACCACTCGTGCCTTGTTAATTGATGGTAATGTTCCATACACATTCTGGGGTGATGCTATACTTACTGCATGCTATCTCATTAATCGCATGCCATCATCTGTTCTCAATCATAAGGTACCTCACTCTATTTTATTCCCTCATCAGGCTTTATATCCTTTAACTCCACATGTGTTTGGTTCTACGTGTTTTGTTCATCATCTTGGTCCAGGTTTGGATAAATT